ATCACAAGAATGGAAAAATAAGCACCACAAGTATTCACCAGCAAATTGATATTTACAATTGATCAACACTTAAGTGCACATATAGTAATAACATTCATTGGGTGTCAGGCAGATGGGCAAGTGGAGGAGGGTATAGGTATATTCACACCTAATGGGTGGGATGGGCACCTTCAGGGGATGGACATGCTTGAAGCTTTGACTCAGGTGGGGCAAAGGCAATTTATGTAATCTAGACATTTGTACCCCATAATATGCTGAAATAAAAAAAATGCTTTCAGTGTTTCACCATTAAATATAGAATTTTGAAAGTGATTTTTGTAGGTAACCATTCACTTATCAAATTAGGAAATTTATCTTTTATTTCTAGTTAGTTTTTTTTGTTTCTAAATATTTTAATCACAGAAAAATGTTGAATTTTTACATATATTTTATTCATCTATTGAGATGATGTTATGATTTATATTCATCAATTTTCAATATAATACAATATCTCAATTGATTTATTTCACATTAAACCAATTCAACATTTTCAAAATAAATATAAATTGTTACTGATATAATTTTACTTTAGATTCACTAGATCCTGCTTCTTAAATTGTGTAAAACTGTTTTCATTTATTTTAATAAATGAGATCACCTGTAAAAATTTTACGTGATGTTCTTGTAGGTTTTACTATACAAGATGTGTTAATACAATAAAAATAGTTGGTGAATATTTTCTATTTTGTATATTCTTGGTTGAAAAAATAGAAAATTAGATTACTTGTTTCTTGAATACATACTTGTTTGTAAAAATAATGTCTGGGCTAATTAGTCCCTTCTTGCAAGATTTAATCAATATTCTTAAAGAAAAATAAATCTGATTTTTAGCTTATTTTTAGTCAGATTTTCAAGTTAATATTTATTTAGAAACATTTATTTGACTGATCTTTTTAAAGTAATTGGCATAATTTTTAAATTAAACATTGATTATGTATGCAAACAAAGGCAACTATATTACCTATATTACATTCTCTTTTTAATTCCTAGCATTGTATATAATTTGTCTCTTTTTTTTCTTGAAAATCAGTGCTTTGGCAGTTTCACAAGTTCTTTTGAAGGATCACTCTCTAAATCATATATTCTAGTTCAGATTTTTATTTTTTATTTTTATTTTTTTAGGGGCAGGAACTTACTATATTGCCCAGGCTAGCATACAGTGGCTATCCGAAGGCATGATCATAGCACACTACAGCCCAAAATTCTTGGCTCAAGTAATCCTCCTGCATCAGCCTCCTAAGTAGCTGGGATGAGAGGCACATGGCACTGTGCTCAGCTCAGTATTTTTAATTTCTTTATGTTTTCTTATATTTAAATTTCATTTGTACTCCAGCCAGTATTTATTCTCTTGCTCCTCTTAATTTCGGTATTTAACTCATATTTTCTAGGTTCTTTCTTTGTAATAATAAACATTTACATTACAACATCTCATATAATTTATGTTTTAGTTATATGTATTCATTTTATTATTTAGTATTTTCATCATTTTTCTGTTTACATATTTTATGATTCCCATTAAAATTTGTCTTTCACAAATGTCATTATAAAATTAATTTATTAATTTATTAATATATGGAATTTTTACTTATCTTGCTTTATTTTGTATTTAACTGTATTATGATGAAAAAGAAAGTTGAGTTTTATAGCATCAACCTTTTGAAATGTTTTAACACTGAATTTTTTACTTTTTTTGTACTCTAAAGAATACATATTTTTCACTCATTGGTTTTCATATGGCAAATTTGTCTGTCAAATGCAGCTTGTCAAAATCATCTGTATGCTAATTATTTTTGTCTTCTTTAATTATGGATATGTCTATTTCTTCTTTTAATATGCCAGTGTTTTCTGTCTATAGGTATGGATGGACAGCTATATACATAGATGAATGGATGGATAAATTGTTAAATAAATAATATGTAGTAATCACATTTTTTGTCACTCCAAGTATTTAAAAAAATACATACTTGCCTGATGAATTTTATGTTTTACCCCATGCAGTGATCTTTATTGCCATACTCTATCTCAAGTAATATAGCTATCTCAATTTTGTTTTGCTTAGTATTAGTCAATTAGTTTTTCATTTTACTTTCTACTTTTATGTTTGCTATGTTTTAAATGTTTCTTTACAGCAGCTATATGCAAATATTTTTAAAAGGGTCTATTTTGATAAATTTATGTTTCTTAGTCACTTTGTCTATTTCCATGTATGATAATTATTTATTTATATATGTTTATTTTTAATATTATATGTTATCCTTAAAGTTTTCTCAGGTATGAAGAGAGAATTTTTACAACTTGGGAATAATCTTGGAAACAGTGAAGAGCCCGTTTTATTCCAAAGAAGAACCTAAAATTTGACTTTACATGAGAAGTGTTGGGAAATATCCCTACCACTATCACCTGGGTGATTACACTTTTAAAAACATAAAGTTAAAACTAAAAGTAAGCCATTCACTTTTCAGTCAAAAAAAAAAAAAAGATTATCAACTTTTCTATACTTTTTACTTTTTCTGCCTTTGTGATTATTTGTTCTAATCCCATTTTCCCTTCCATTCAATCAAAATTATACATTACATTTATCTTTAGCTTTTTTCTAAAACTTTTATTATTCCTTCATCTATGTCAATTGATATATTATCCTTCTCACAAATATAATTTATAATATTTTATATTTGATCAACTTCTCTATTTTGCTTGTCATCACTCATTATTGTAATTTCACATTTTTAATGTTCACAAGAAATATTCTATGTCGGCTTATACAGGCAATGCTTATTTCAATTACTGCATAGTGTGTTTCTTGCTTTTTGTTCCACATTGCTTCATAGATATCCTTCTAGGATCCTTTTCATTTTGAAAGAAGTGTATCCTATGAATTTCATATGATAAGGGTCTATTTCTGGAAGTCTCATACTTTGTGTTATAACGAGCCTTTTTTTCACTTTATAAAAGTTATTTTCATCAGGATTCATAATTATTTTCTATAAGTACCTTTGTGATATTATCCCCAAATTTTCAGACTTCCATGGTTACTGGTAAGAGGTCACCTGTAAGTCTAATGCAAATGCTTTGAGGGCAATATTTTCTTTCTCTCTGCCATTTTAAAGAGCTTTACTGCAATGTGCCTAGGAGTTGGTATTTTTATCTCACTTAGGATTCCTTAAACTTCTGGGGATTGTTTCCTTTTAATGGCTTTGGAATTTTGTCATAATTGTTCTCATAATTATTCATATATCACTGTGTTCATTCTGTCTCCTTATTACGGAAATTCTGATTAAATATACTTTACATTTTCTCACTCAAATTCCATGTTTCTTAGTCACACTTTGGGACCTTTTTTATTGCTTTACCTCTTAAATCACATTACATATAATTTCTTATAATTATTTCATATAATGTTTCATAATATATTTGGAAGAAATTTTTCAGTTCTGTCTTATCTCTATTAACACGTCATTGAGTTTTAAATTTCTATTAGTTTTAATTTTATATTAGATTACTTTTCTTTTTAAAATTCAATTTAATTCTTTGATACTAGATGTATTTTATTTTTTAATAATTTTATTTTTTGTTTTTTAATTATTATGCATAAATAACTGTTGTATATCTTTTTAATGACCTCCGTTTCCATCCATGTTGCTGAAATGACATTTCATTAATTTTTATGGCTGAATAATATTTCATTGTGTGTATATATATATATATATATATATATATATACCACATTTTTTTTATTCATTCTATTTATGAGCACTTAGATCAATTCAACATTTTGGGTATTGTGATTAATCCTGCAATAATCAGGGAGTGCAGACATCTTTCAATATATTGATTTCCGTTTTTTGGCTATGTATCCAGTAGTGTAATTGCTATATAATATGATGGTTTTATTTTTAGCTTTTTGAGGAATCTCTGTACTGCTTTTTATACTGGCTGTACTAGTTTACATTCCCACCAACAATGTACAAGCATTCCCCTTTCTCCACATCCTTGCCCAGCATCTGTTATTCCCTGTCTTTTTTATGTAAACCAATTTAATTAGGGTGAGATGATATCTCATTGTGATTTTGATTTGCATTTCTCTGATGATTAATGATTTTGATTATATACCTATTGGACATTTGTATGTTTTCCTTTGATAAATCTCTTTTCATATCTTTTGCTCATTTTTAAATAATATTCTTTGTCTTTTTGCTATTGAGTTTGAGTGCCTTATAAATTTTGGTTATCAAAACCTTGTCAGATTGACAGTTAGCTAGCCACTTTTACTAGATTCTTGCTGTTATTTCATTGATCTTTCTTATTATCATTAAATATACTTAATTTTATAAACTAATATCTTTGCAGCTTTAATTTTTCATTTATGCTAGCTAATATTCATCGTATTGAGTGTTAATTGTGATATTTTTGACTGTGGACTTAATTGTCTTGGAAATGTTTTTGTTATAATTTTTGAGGATGGGATTCATGATAATGAAAAATAAATCTTGATATAATCAGTAAATTATATAATCAGTAAATTATAATCAGTAAATGTCCAAAAATGAAAGATGGCTTTATTGCTCCTATTTCTTTCAATTAGTAATGATTTTAAGGTCTCATTTTCGATCTGTATTGATTGTAGCAAAAGTTCAGATCATAAATTTTTTTCAAAATATGTGTTTTAATATATCAGAAAAAGGTTTGGTTGTATTAGATATTACCTTTGGTCAGATTACCTAGAATGCCATACTATCAGACAAAAATTTTCTCACCCTGTTTTTTTAACCCTGATTTATAATCATTTTTAAATTAATACTCTAGTAGAAGAAAAGATTGCATTTTATTCCTTCTCAGTATTCATAAAATGAATATTACTTTTTAAATATTTTTCTTACCTATATTAATATGTGTTTTACAGTATATTTTATCTAAATAGTACTTTATTTTTATTTGAAAATCTTCACTAAAGAATATTTTATAGAAAAAGAAAGTTCAAATTGGAAGCCTTAACATATTGTTTTGGTTTGAATTACACCATATCACCTCTTCTGTCAATTTTTCATCTGGTCCAGATGGTAGAGTTGCTTGGCTTGCCCAGTGTCTGGCTGAGTTAATTTTCAACCAGATCAGAAGATAGAAGAAATGGCTATTGAACAGAGGAAAGCATTTTGATTATTTATCAAGAATTTTAGTTAGATGGCCATGAAAAATACAAGCCATGCTATACTGTGATTAACCTGACACTTTTGGCATTATATTAAAAATGAATTTTCCACTCAAAAAAATCAGTAATATGCTTCTTCTTTTCCCATTATTAAGGAAAGAATCTCCAATATTTTTTGCCTTGGAGTTTGTAGACTGATTACATGCATGATGTTTTGGCTTCATTTCTGTGCATTTAAATAGACCTATTACATATTTTCTATAAAATATAAATACAGTACATAAGAAAACATTATGTACAAGGGAAATATTGCTTTCATGGTTCGGGTTCATGTTTTGTACAGGCATAAATCATGCTTTGAAAAAATAAAAACTCTGGACTGCTCTTTTATTTTGTTTAAAATATACAATTTTAAATCTATTTTCATAATTACCTTGAGCTATTATTATAACAATTCACAAAGTTTCTTTGATTATTAAGAAGACAAACATAACTTGGAAATATTCACAGAATTCTTCAATGTCATATTTGTATACATGCAGGAAGCCACTTTAAGATCTAAAAGAAGCCTTTGGCAGGCAGCTATGCTCATCAGTATACCACAAATGCTAAAAGAGGCCTTTGTATTACTTATATTTTAAAGCATTTAAATGTTTGGGAAGTAGACTTCCACATATATAAATAATTGAAAATATTAATTAATATAGATCCTAGAATATTAATATTTTGTTAACAATCTTATATTTCTTTCTTCACATAAGTTTAATTTCAATAAACCTAAGCTTATCTATGCTATTGTGATTATTTTATGTGAAAAACAAACTTTTCGAAGTATATATTTTAAAGGATCCTAAAATCAAACAAAAGGCAAAAGAAAACATTCAAAAATATTTACACAAACAACTTTAAAAATCTAGCGCAATATGCTAATTTAACATAATGGAAAAGAAGCTGGTGCCCTCACCCCGCTGATCAGTGGGAGAGGGGAACTTGATTCCGGTTAGATTACTGATGGGAAGACACAGCTTCAAATACTAGTTTTACCCTCAGTAGATGCTAAGACTTCCAGTACATTTGTAAAGCTATTAAAAGCTTCCTTCACAGCAAATAAATCAGGAAATTGCCACTTCTAAGTGTATTAGAAGTAGGCTCTGTGTGAGTCGAGGACTAGACAGGAAAAAAAAAACATAATCAAAGTAGGCTAATTAAAGAAGATGTGAAACAAATGTTATAAATCACAAGGATCTTTGGTATACCCTGGCTTTCACTTTGTAAACAATTTTTTTATTGAAATTGTATGTATCTAAGATTAACTTTCTTTTCCACTAATAGGGTAAGGAGAGGAAGCCACTGTGGAAAGCAATATGATAGAGTCCTGTGGTGCTTGACAGGTGGAAAACAGTCAGCCTGAAGATTGAAGTAGAGGAAGATTGAGAAATACTTACCCCAACGTCACTATTCTTCCTGCCTTGAATCTCTTCTTTTTCACTTCCCGTTGGCCAAACACAATTGGATGTCAGAGGTGAAGAAAGCCTAAGGAAGAAGACAAGGTGGGGAAAGGCAGAAAGTGAGTCTGGAGGAGCAAAGAGATTTTCAGCACAGGTTCTTTTCATCCAGACTGTCCCAGTGGTGAACTGAGTTAGGTTTGGCAACACCTGGGTGGCTTCCAGCCTATACTTTTACTTTGTTGGCCAAGCATTCTTATCTGTTCCACCACTTACTAACATTGTAAAATTGACCAAATTACTTTCATATGCAAAATAGACATAATGTTTTTCCCTCGTGTGTTGTGATGACTAAATATAACAGCTATTTGAAAGACTATTACAAATCTAAGTAAATATGTATGACAATTTTCATTATTCAGAGAAGAGAGCTGTATTTCTAATAACTGTCACATTTAGCATGAATATTCATCAAGAGTTTTGTTGCTCATTTTTAGTCAGATAGATATTCCCACTACCCATCACACCTAGCATGTTGCTACTGAGCTGTCTAAAGTTACTCCTACTGTTTCTCCTCTCTAGTATGTGTTAGCCATTCTTTCATATATGTTCCCAGCACTTCACAATAACTCAGTGTATCCCTTCCATTTATCATCTTGACTCTTCACTTCTTTATTACTATACTTTAAGTTTGTATTATGTGATTAATATATCATCATTAGCCATATAATATTCCATAATAATAATTTCATGTACATTTCTAAATTTTTGTAATAGCCCTTAGTAATGACAGAAGACTTGTTGGAGCCAATAGAGAATTCAGGGATTCATGAACTGAATAACTGTGTATTTTCACAAAACAATATTTAGACACAAGTAACTTTCATAATATTAGCATAAAAACATCCCATACAAGTCTGGTCATATGTACCTGAATATTTCCTTTAAGAGGCAAATCTATAAATAATTATTACTAAGCCACCAAAGAGTTTCTGACTTAACAGCTAGCTATTATTTTTCTAGTGAAATTTAGTGGCTAGATTTAATGCAGACTAAATGCTCATTGTTGATTCTTGAAAGTAAGTTAAAATTTCTTGTCATATAATCAGTAACTGTAGTGCAGCAGTTCCAAGTCACGTGATAGTTTTGCTTATTTTCACTGTCAAACACATCAAAAAGTTTCCTTGTGGGAGAGTAGATCAGAATATCAAATCAAATGGCCATTTTTTTAAATTAAGCATTTGTATTCCTTTCATAATTTAGCCAATGTCTAAGTCCATTTGGGCTGTTATAACAAAAATACACAAAGAAAACATTATACTTTCAGGGATAATTTCTATAGTTTCTTTCAAAAATACTGAGTGACTTAAGTACAAACATTTGTTGCTCACAATTCTGGAGGCTAGGAAATCCAAGATCAAGGCAAGATAGATTTGAAGTCTGGTGAGGGCCAATCCCTCTGTGTTCTCAGATGGTGGAAGGAGCTAAGAAACTTCCTAAGGCCTCTTTAAAAAAAAACACTAACCCCATTTGTGAGGACTCCACCCTCATGGTTTAATCACCACCCAAAGGCTCCAACTCTCAACACTATTCCACTGGGTATTAGGTTTTAGCATATGAATTTTGGAGGACACGAACATTCAGATCATAGCAGCCAGTACATGTGTCCAACGACGTAAAGCTCATTTGACTTTTAAATTTTCAATTTCTAATACCCTGTTTCTTTAAGTATGTGGTAGTCAGTAAGGAGAAATTAACATCTATAAACTGATACTGACTTATTTTTCCATAGTTTTAGAGGCCCTGTTTCCAATATAATGATGTTCTCTTAACCATTTACTGAAATAATAACACAGTTTCTTGGGTTAAAAGAACCTTTTTAATCCAACAAACAATTTTATTTTTCTGTGAATAAAGCTTTAAAATAAAATTCAACATTTATTCAAGATATGTTGTCACATGCCATTGTATATAAAACAGTATAAACCTATTTTAGTGTTTTTCCATTTTATAGTAAATATACTAATTTTATAGGAAATATACTAAGATTTAAGACTGTAAGTGATTTGTCCATTCATACAGTGAAGAAGTGGCAGATTTAAATTCACTGAGTTTCTGCCAATAAAATCAATGACTTACCATTGTTTCACAACAGAAATTGGAAATACAATCTATTACCATTAGCTGTTTTAGCCATTTTCTTTCAGAAATTAAGGTAATCAGTTTTTAAAAATTATAATAATAAAGTTAACACTCAATTCCATTTTGAAAAATAATATCAAAAGAATAATTTGATTTTGACTTTCTCTACAGACACTAAATCTTTGCACATAATATTATATGTAGATTTTAATTTTAATGCTTATATTTATATGTATAATGCAAGATTTCCATGTCACATATCATGGGAACAGAAGAAGGCAAGCTACAATGGTCAATTATGCTTTCTCTGTGAATGCTCTTACTGTTATGCTTCAGCACTCAGTGCCATTTCATAATATAGAAATTTTGATGGCAAAACTAAAAATTATTTTTTTTATTTCCTTACTGACACCTGGTACATTATTTTATGATTGGATAGGCTGATGTGTCTTTGAATGTTTATGAAAACAGACCAGAAATATGTTAGTATGCTTTTGAAATAAAGAGAGATAGAGGTGTAAGAAACAATAAATTACTGTCTTAGAAAAAAAGAAGGTTTAGAGTTTCCTTAGGCAAAGATTCAAATGAGACACTTAAGAAAATATAGTCAATAGGGATTTGGGGATGGAAATGATGACTACTATATAATTTAAATATTCTCCTCAGTGTCCTCTACAAAACTATCATAAAATGTTAGCGTTATTGAGAAACTCCTTTTTTGAGAATGTAAAATGTCTGTTTCTTGCCTAAATATTAGCCTAAGTTGAAATTAGAAACTGTTTAACAAAACTTCCAACATCTGGCTTATGCATTATACACATTGCTATCAAACAACAGACTATCAGTAGTTTGAGGTCATAGACTGTGATTTATCAATTTTGTATCTATAGTAAATTCAAGTAACTAAAATACAGATGATAGTAACTAATTACTATTAACATTGAAAGAAAAATATAAAAAATAATATAGTAGGGAGAGGAATAAGAATGAAAAATAAAGAATAAGGAAGGAAGAAAAGGGTAGAAATTAGATTTTGTAGGGAAAAATCTACCTTTGAACTTTCAATTCTTCAGTTTTTATCATCTGGCCTTGAGCAATAACTTTTGTGAGCCTCAGTTTCTCTTGTTTGCAAAATAGGGATGAATAATAACCACAATTGCCCTTTTGAAATACGAAGAGATGCAAATAATATAATTAAAAGATATTGAGAAAATTAAATTATGTTATGCTTATCTTAGATCTACTCCAAGCAGAAACAGGCACCAACATCAAAAATCTATTAGATAATTTTCCCCTGCTCTTTTGTTTTGTGGAAATACATTATATTAAAAAAGAGTAGCCTCCTCTAAGATTATGATTTGTCCCATGGACTATATACAGATAACTCTTTTTAAAATTCTTTTCTTTTCCTTTTAAAACTTTTTTATTTTTTATTTCAGCATATTACAGGGGTACAAATGTTTAGGTTACATATATTGCCTTTGCCCCACCTGAATCAGAGCTTCAAACATGTCTACCCCCCAGACAGTGCGCACTGCACCTATTAGGTGTGAATATACCCATCGCCTCTTGCTCCCCTCACCTGTCCAACACCTGATGAATGTTATTACTATATGTGCACATAAATCTTAATCAGTTAATACCAATTTGATGGTGAGTACATGTGGTGCTTGTTTTCCCATTCTATTTATTTTTTGAGTTTTGCTCTTTTCAAATTTATTTTATTTTTTTATTACCTCATATTATGGGGGTACAGATATTGTTAGAGTTACATATCTTGCCCCTGCCCCTCCTCCTTCACCCCGTTATGCCAGAGCTTCTAGCGTGTCTAGCCTCCAGGTAGTGCCCACTGCACCCATTATGTAAGTATATACCCTTCCCCCCGCCCACTTCCCAATTACAGATTTTTTTTTCAGACATTTTGGTTACAATGTATATCTTTGCCTCTCCCTAAAAAGGGTTAGAGGTAATCCCTTGCCCCCCATAATGCTCGCCATTTCCTTAAGATGTGGGTCTCCACCCCCTCAACTCCCTGTTGAACACTACCTTTTGTTGGGTACCATAGTTTTAGTCAGTACCAATTTGATGGCGAGTACATATGGAGCCCATTTTCCAGATCTTGTGTCATCTCAGTTTGTATTACAGGCTTAAACTTATTCCAGGATAGCATAAACAGTGCTAGCTCACTGTTGTTTCTAAGGATTGAGTAATATTCCATTGTGAGCATATACCACATTTTAGTTATCCACTCATGAATTGACGGGCACTTGGGTAGTTTCCATGACTGTGCAATAGTGAATTGTGCTGCCATAAACATTCGGGTACAGATGTCTCTATAATAGAGAGACTTATGTTCTTTTGGGTAGATGCCCAACAATGCTATTGCTGGGTTGAATGGTATTTCTATTTCTAGCTGTTTGAGGTATCTCCAAATTCTTTTCCACAAAGGTTGCACTAATTTGCAGTCCCACCAGCAGTATAAGAGTGTTCCTGTCTCTCCACATCCTCACCAGCATTTGTTGTTTTGGGATTTCTTGATATAGGCCATTCTCATTGGGGTTAGGTGGTATCTCACTGTGGTTTTGATTTGTATTTCTCTAATGATTAGAGATGTTGAACATTTTTTATATGTTTGCAGGCCATTATTCTGTCTTCTTTGGAGAAGTTTCTGTTCATTTCCAATGCCCATTTCTTGATGGGGTTTGATTTTTTTTCTTGTTTATTCTTTTAAGTTCTAGATAGAATCTTGTTATTAGACCTTTATCAGAAGTGTAGAGAGCGAATATTTTCTCCCACTCTGTGGGTTGTCTATTTGCTCTAATGATCGTTTCCTTGGCAGTACAGAAACTTTTTAATTTGATCAGATCCCATTTGTTTATTTTTGATGTGGCAGTGATTGCCTTGGGGGTCTTCCTCATGAATTCTTTGCCTAGACCAATATCTGATAGGGTTTTCCCAACATCTTCTTCTAGGATTCTTAAAGTTTCATGTCTTAGGTTTAGGTCTGTTATTTATCTTGAGTGAATTTTTGTGAGAGGTATGAGGTTGGGATCCTGATTCGCTCTTCTACATGTTGCTAACCAGTTTTCCCAGCACCATTTATTGAAGAGAGAATCTTTTCCCCATAGTATATTTTTGTCTGCTTTATCAAAGATTAGGTTACTGTATACAGATGGTTTCATCTCTGGAATCTCAGTTCTATTCCAGATATCGATGCTTCTATTCTTGTACCAGTACCAGGCAAATTTAACTATTATTGGTTTATAGTACAGCTTGAAGTCAGGAAGACTGATGCCTCCCAGTTTGTTCTTTTTACTTAAGATTACTTTTTTCATTCTTGTGATACTTCACTTAGTAGAACGGCCTCCAGCTCTATCCACGATAATACAAGAGGTGCTAGATCACCATTGTTTTTTGTGGCTGAGTAGAACTCCATGGTATACACACACCACATTTGATTAATCCACTTATGGATTGATGGGCACTTGGGTTGTTTCCACAACTTTGCATTTGTGAATTGTGCTGCTATAAACATTCTAGTGCAGATGTCTTTTTTATAGAATGTCTTTTATCCTTTGGGTAGATGGCCAGTAATGAGATTGCTGGATCAAATGGTAGTTATACTTGTAGCTCTTTTAGGTATCTCCATATTACTTTCCATAGAGGTTGTATTAGTTTGCAGTCCCACCAGCAGTGTATAAGTATTCCTATCTCTCCACATCCATGCCAACTCTTACTTCACTCTATGCCATTCCCTCCTACCACTCTGATCCTTTCTTCTCCTAATCATTAATGAAGAATGCTCCTAGTATCATAAATTGTCCTACAAAGCAGGAAAACTGTGGTAGAACAGAATTATAACCTGGCACAGTTAAGTATATAAATAAAGAGTTTCTAGATAGCTGATCAAAGGAAAAAATAAACTGAAGTCTGTGAGGATTTGGGAGTCTTCTATGGAGAATGAATCTTTACTATGTGCTTAAATGAATCCATAATGCAGTATTCTAATATAAAGTAAAAGCCAAATAGCTATATACTTCAGAAGCTGTTTTTCAAAAAAAATAAGTGACATTAGCCTTTTGTAAAAAACAAGTATACTTTTTGTGATTTGTCGTTGAAGTTTAGCATTGTATATAAGAGCTGAAATGATGGTGTTTGAAATAAATATGAAATGTTCAGAATCATGAAGCTCTTAAATAAGCAAACCTCATTTTCTAGTGTTCAGAAGGCATTCAATTCAATTCCATTATGAAGCCTGAAAGAAATAATGTAGAAATCAATGTGGAATTTGAGAGAAGGGAGAAAATAATGTGTAATAATTATTTTATCTCCTTGAGGAATGCTCCGCTATAAAAAATCTGATAGTCTGAATTTCTCTTCCATTAGTTTCCAAACTTATAGTAAGGATTTACTTTTTCTTTCTAAAAGTATTACTAGATTAATGTTTTTTGCATGTGGCTTCTGCTTTGGGATGTGGACTTTGCCATTTGATGATATTTTTGGTCTTCCTTTGTTCCTTTCAATCCTCATTAATAATCTTAGTTCAAAAGCTCATGACTGATCTTGGCCATGATCAGCCCACAGGTCTTTTGACCTCTAGAATCTCTTCTGGTAATCTGCTATATACCAGGCTAAAAGACACCTTTTTCCTTTTTGTAACACTATGAAAATATTTTTCCCTGGTCAAAAAAGTACCTATGTATGTATGCAATATCTGTTTTCCACATTTCAACCTCCTGGCCAACATTCAAGATACCACAGCCTGGAAGAAATCTAAATTTCTGGATGATTTTTCACTATTGTGTCCCTGAACCCTGCACTGCATTCATATTTTAATACACTCTATACATGCACATATCTTTTGACTTTCACATCTGTGTTCATGACATTTGCTGTTACTGAAGAAAGCAGAATTTTACCTTTTCAAGTCCCAGCCATTTATTCAGGGATAGGCTAGAAAGGCCTGAGGAAAATTACCAAATTTTTACTCAAATGCAAATGGTTTTCCCTTTTGACCAGCCATGACATTTTCTTAACATAAATCATATTCTTGGCCTATATTTTTAATGACTAAATCTTACTCTTATTAGAATATTATAAAGGAGAATTAATCCTACTTTATGTTTCCAGTGCAGTGGTTCACAAACATAATCCTTAGCCTGGTACAAGGTCAGAGACTGACTAAGAATCAGACAGAAAATGTGATAATGCATAGATTTATAGACCATACCACAAAGTTTCTGAGTATGACTGAATATCTCATATGCAATTCACTAGGTTTAGAAAACTATAATCTAAATCAATTGTGAGATTCTGAATGATGAAAAGAAGAGATGAAAGAGTAAGTGCAATCTATGTATATTTATAAATAAATGAATTAAGGAAGAAATGAATTTTTTTTAAATAAAGAAATACTCTATATTCTTGAAGAATTGAATTTAGCTTTGCTATGTAATGCTTTTTGAAATAAGTAATTGATTTCACTAAGCACCAATTTCTATCTAGAGAAATATCATTTGAAACATATTTTTTAAAGGCTAAAATATATTCTTAATATATAGTCACATATGGGTTTATGGGACCCCCAAACAATAGGTTGTTTTCTTTTCCATGCAATTTTGTTTATTTCATCTCAAAGCTTTTTCTATACTTTAAGATAAATGAGATGTTTTGAAATATAACATTGAACATAATACATATGTCTCCTACAGCTAAGGCAAGATTACCTTTTATTGTAGGAGACAGAAAAATGCAGGGGTCATACATCAGAAATTATGGACAGGAAGTAACAAATGAAATATCAGACATTTTCTTGCGGCATCTTATAAAATATGAACTTCCGCAAAAGCTTCTCCTATAAAAATGTATTAATATCTCACATAACTCAGAGAAAAAGGAGACATATTCAAATCAGATACATGTTGGAAATCTACCACTTCTTTTCTAAGGACTTTGCTCTATCAGTGTTTGTGAGTCGGTGTGTGTGCTTTCTGTGAATGTTTTCCATGTGTTTTTGCCCTTATTCATTCATTTACTAAATATCTTTTAAAAACCTAATATGATGTAGACACTGTGCTAGGTTCTAAAGATGTAGATGCAGATAAATAGAGTCCCAAGAGATAAGTAGAAATTATCTAGATGAAAATGTACAAGAATATTTC